TCAGCGAGAATTTTCTTAACGCAATGCAGGATAAGGGTTTGGTTGTTTAGCTCTCTACTAGATGACAATAATTGCTATCGTATATTAACTTTATGAGGAAGTTGCCAGCTCATTACCCTCTAAGGTCGAACATCTAGTCTGGATGAAAAAGTAAAATTACGAAGACCTATACGTCAAAAAAATATCCGCCCCAGTACCTTTTATTACTTCAGAGCATAAATAATGTTTTGTTAGATTATAATAATAAAGACTTAAGGTTTACGCTTTATGGTTACCTGTGTGCGTGTACGGGAGTGAGTGTGCGCACTAGCTTCTGTGTATACGCATTACAAAATTTATTCCTTTCTTCTACAATGATAAGGCAGCGTAATATCTATCATTTAACTGGACCAACGAGATATATACCACGATTACATATTCTGAGGGACACCTCTATAGTAATGAGATTATAATATGCATGATCTTGAACTGCGGCGCCATGCTTAACTTAAAGTGGTAAGTTAACTCGTTTAAAATGTAAATACGATAATTTGTTTGTTATGCAAGCGTGAGAGGGACAAGAGCCCTTGGAATTACAATCAGTAGCTAACTCAGTACGGATATATTTAATAGCTGTTTGCACGTGGCTCTGACATCGAATACCGGTGACTAAGTGTTTAATACACAGCACTAATGCACAACTAGTGTATATGTACATTCACAAGATAATAATTTAAAAAATAATCTGTTGTTTTAACGCGTTTGTATTAGATTTACTTGTAAAGACAGGCTCACTTCCACTACAGAGTACTGATTCTCTATGCGATGTCGGTTACTCAAGTTCTCCGTCGAATAATTTCGTTTCGAATTTTATCGACTAGAGAAACACCCACCATCGCACGTAGACTTTAAACTTGTGGACCAGTCTAACGGCAGTGTACACGTTCTCGGCTCCGTGTGTCTTTACGGGTAGGACTAATTAGTTAAACGCCCTTGATTTGTAGCAATTGCGGGATTGGTGAGTCAAGGATATGACGTAGCTTCCCATACGCCGCCCAGCCTAGACGAATTCGATATGGGCTTTCCGCTCGATGTTGTGCAGACCGATATGGATAGTTTGGCCAAGGTATACCTATCTATTGTTGCACAATTTGATAGTAACCTCGCGCCATTTACGGCCACGGGACTCGAAGAGACATTGTATGCCTATTATACATGATTTTGGTTTTACCAATGTCCACCCCAAGTCTTGAAGAACCGTCTAGACTGTTAAGCATTTCTTCCAGATCATACAGAGATTCCGACAAGATGACTATGTCGAATGCAAATTGCAGGTGTGAGATGTATTGACCATTAATATTTGTTCCCCGTCCGTTCCAATCGAGCTTCTTGAAGACGTCTTCCAATGCATTGGTAAACAGTTTGCCTTCTCAAGTTTTAAACAAATTATGGATATCAATTTTAATTTACTTGTAGTCGTACCTGTATCGCATTAATTATAATGACAATTATAGCGTAACTTGGAATCTTTGGGCTCATCAAATGATAAACTCAAGAGGTTGCTGATTCAATAGAACTGTTTAGTGGCTACGAGTAAAATCCACGAGTTTAATGTGATTCGTTTTGAAGAACCCAAGATACAGTGAAACCCCTTTTTAAGTGTTTTCTGTTGAAAAAAGAAAGTATGTAAGTAAAATTGTATATTGCACTGCTTGAATAAAAATTTCCTTGTGTTATTTCGAAGTTTTCTCTGTTGTTCTGTACACTAAGACGCACTTGTGCACTAAATTACAGTGCGACTGAATTTGTTCAAATACACCTGTACATATAATGACACAGTTAACCAGAAAGCTGCATCTAAATATCGTTTAAAATATCTGGCTATAGTCAACGCATTACAAAATTCAGTTTGATTAGTTCTGTCAATTATTAGTACGACCCTTTAGGCTTAGACAAGTGGCTTTTACTTCCTATAACTACAGTATTAAAAAAAGTAAAAAACTAATGTTAGAGAGTTGTCACACAATATTTTGTACTGTCAATATTAGACATCATTACTGCATAATAACTTAACCATTGTACGGCAATATAATCACAAAACATTAATATATTCTAGATAACAAATTTCAAACAATACGCGCCAACAACTTTGACGTTTGTGAAAGAAACTACGAGTATAACCAACATGTTAATTTTCAGCGAAAGACCGAGTATATTTAGCGTTCGCTAAATCAAATTTCATCTGTCTTCCAATCTATTATCATTTTTCGTCAAGTCGCAATATTTTTTAGAAATTAAGCCGCTAACACATTCACAACATACACTTTTATTTTAATTTATTTAAAAACTTCTAACCGCTAAAACTTTTGTCTATCTGTAATGTTTACGTAATTGTAAAATTACGAAACAAATAATAGCTTTCATTCACGGCTTCGCGATAGTGTAGATATTATGAATCAATTCATGAACCATTTGAGAACAATACATTTTGATGTGGGCAAAGTACCCATAAATTTCAAACTATATAATATTATATAACTCATACAATATTAGGATTATGTGCATCACCTCCCTACCTGAAATGATCCATTAGAAATATCCAAGCTCTTTGTACATGGGACATAAACCTGCTCCAGTTATGCGGGTGTATTCATAAAGCTACCTGCTGCGTGCACAGGTGTTCTCTCGAGGCCAATGCGCATCCCGACATTTGTTTGAAAACATATGTTTTTGTCCAGACTGGTTTTTTTTTTGGGCAAGAAGTGGAACATTAATGTTAGTAGGCACAAATTTTAAGTGTTCGTTCCTATCAACGTCCACACCTACAGCGATATAATCAATGATAATAATTACATTTGCCTTCAGTAAGATTATAGGATTTCTCAAGTTGTTAGGTAATTAGACATCGAGTACGTTCTTTGCTATATTAGGCAGCGGTTGATGCTATTTAAATGTTGTCGGATTTTTGTCGGACCACATTCACTAATAAACTAAGTATTTTTTCTATCTTAATGTGTTACAAAAAATTTAGTAAGGTAAGTATTTTGATAACTAAAAAGGTAAATATGTAATTCTTGTCTTTAGAAGTACAGCACAAGATGCTAGAAAAAATATATCGACGATTTCCCTGGTGCTGCGAAAAACAAAAATAATAATAATTATACCTACTATATTAAAAATCCGCAAAACCATGATAAACCAAACCAAAACTAATTCATAATTTTATTTCTGAAATTTCGATTATTTTCTATTCTATGTACCTACTCTACCATTTTTTTTTCAATATGTGTTTTTTTCAAAATATAACCTAAAAAAAATAGTAAAAAATTTAAATAATCGAACTGCTAGTTATGAACCTACAACTTTAAATATAAAATGCTAGCAATTTTGGCTCAATTATAATTAACGTTTTTCTAGCGAATGGCCTTGCAACTGTGCTCGTTTTTATACAGTCCATAAACTCAGACGGTGCATTAAAAATATCAGCCTGCGAATTAAGCTTTTAAACAAAAACCTGCCCGACAACAAAGAACTCACAACCCCAGGTAGGTAAAAACATTAAATATGGCGGGAACACTGTGAACATTTTCATTTTTATTATCCCACGAAACAAATAAGGTAAATGTAATAGCTTACTATTTTAGGTCAAAGAAAGAAGTTATATCGGGAATCATAATAATGTGTTCTGCTCCAATAAAAACCCTGAAGCCAGTTAATTAACTTGTCACGAGTTTTCTGCTTGCAACATACACGTAGGAGATATCCTACAACTAGTGATTATTATCAATGTTGCCTGCATACAGATAAAAATTAATAAGAAAATGTATTTAATTAGAGCAAAAATATTCAAACAATTAACGCAATAAGAAACAGTTACAATAAAAAATAGCTCTTTAACATCGTATTTGTGAAAACTTGATTTATGTGCATTTTATTCATACTTACTTAAAGCTTTTATCTAAAACATTATGCGTACTAAGAAACATCTTAATTGACGCCAACTTTTACGGTAACTCAGCTTATGAACCGGTTTAAACATATACACCGTTATCTGTTCAAAAAAAAATGGAACTTTTTGCTATATTAGTTGGTTTTATAACGAGGTCATATTACTTTTAATGGATCTTAGCTAATGTTTGTAAAGGATTGTAAAACAACAACAATAGAGACAAGATAATGTGGAGTTTAGATTTCGACGGCGTGCCTTCAGCTACAATACCGTTACATGCGCATGGCAACAATACGCTGCAAAATGGAAATTTATCTTATCTGCTATCTGTCTATATCGAGGTCTCACCTGAATAAACATGACACAAATGTTAAATATCACTTGGGTCACGTTATATACATGTCACAAGTCCAAATGTCTGCAGATAAACAAAAAAATAAACGACGCTGTTGCATTCAGGTTGATCATATTTAATGCTATTTGCGTCATTGACACTGCCTGTGACCTAGATTAATAAATTTTGCAAGGCACTGGCAAAAATGTTAACTGTAAATAAATGTTAGTTTTAAATATAATTCAGCAGTCATATTAAGATAGATTCACCAGACATTTCAACACCACCTATTAACTTGTAGCTCAATCATCAACTTGTAGGTCAATGTTTTTGTTACTTTTGGTCGAAGGTTTTCATGAGTTTTTGTTTTATTTTATTGGCACATGCAACGATGCAGACTGACATAGGTTCGTATATTAACGGCAGAAGACTTAATTTTCTGGATACGCGGATACGTGTTGACGTAAATACCCACAGTGTAACATCACATGGCGAGAGACCGAGTTACTGTATGTTGTATCGGGAAGTTTAAATATAGAACGCGATTGGGTGAGCGACTTGAGACGCGCCACAGATAACGTTTATCGCACAATCTGTTGGGAGTAAAAACTAATAACGCATTGAATTATCAGAAACCGGACACGTTTCTTAGAACACTTCTTCCAATCAACAATTAATGAATAGTCATTCTTGGTTTGACGATCCATATAATAATGTTATCATTTGTACATTAGGTACTCAAATAGGGGTGGCGGGTGTGGCCAGCTGATCGGGCTCGCACGCACACAGTTTCAACTGTTTACGAAAAAATGTTACACAGCCCTGTTTATTGATTTTATCCGCTGAGAAGCGTTTTATCTAAACAGGTGTTCAATCTGTGATTGTTTTCGGGTACCAAATGCAGTTTTACAAATGCACGGTATGTTGTGTATTCGTTTGCTATCGTAATCGTCGTCGTATCGTTTCAAGAGTTCTTGAGGAAAAGTTATTAAAATGATATAGGTGAAATACATTTTTTTTTAAATAAAAATATTCTAATAGCAAAGATCAATCAGTCAGATAAGATTTTTTTCGCTTGTTTGTACTTTACATATAAAAAATAGTATACCTTAATACCGGAGCGTCCCTGTTGTTTGAGCAGCACATTCTCCGGCTTCATGTCGCAATGTATGATTCTGTTTTTGTTAAGTGCATGTAGACACTGTAGTAGACTGTGCGAGAACTTGCGCACGAGCTGCAGCGAGAACCCCTGGAACTTGTTCTTCTTTATCAGCTCGTACAAGTTAATGGACAGCAATTCGAAAGTGATACATGTATGGTTCCTGAACGTGAACGAATCGAACATGTGGATGACGTTCATCGTGTTATCTTTGTCTTGTTCGCGGAGGTGCTCCAATATACGGATCTCCTCTTGTGCCTGGCGGTGGAACCGCTTCTCGTTGCGGACCATCTTAAGCGCAACATTCTCTCGCTTCTTGTGGTCGTAAGCCTTCACCACTTGCCCGAAACTACCCTTACCGATAACTTTGAGCACCTCGTATCTGTACGCTATGTGGTCGTGAGGGATGTGGATGTATGAGCCTTGCTCGTTGTCGTAGTCGCAATTGTTTGGGAAGCCGACTAGACCAGGTCGTTTCTTAGCATTAGCGCCTATGAAGTACACTTGGGGGTAGTCGAATATTTCACGGTGTTCATAGGGGGTGAGTTTATTCATATAGAGCTTCATGACCTGTTCGGGGCTAGCGGCAGCGGCCGGTGGCCGCTTGTCGGGCGGCTGCGCGTTGGCCGTCGGCGGCGCGGGCGGGCCGGGCTCAAGCGGTGGCAGCGCCCCGTCCCGAAGCAACGCGCGCCCGAACGCGTGCGCGCTCCCTAGAGGCATGTCGCCGGTCATGGCCGCGCGGCCACCGCCACCTCCGCGCACTTCGCTCGCCGTGGCCAAGTCGACCCACGCTCTTTCGCACACACCACTGCACCTCACTGCACTTGCACTCGAAGAAGGCGCCACTCTGGTACACTGCACGACATTTCACATCGACCGGGAGGAGCGAGACCCACGCTTCCACTTATGCGGGCACATTCCGTCTCGGCAGCGATACGATATAGCCGCGGCCGCAAATGATACCGTGCGACACGAACGTGAAACGCAAACAAAGACCCCTTCCTTGTGGCTCGAGCCGACGACAAAACCAGAGAGAAAATAGAAACGGTCGCCAAAGTCATTGAACCGTTCAGCCGTATGAAACCCATGAGTGCGACTGAGATAGAAACATTTTTATTCGTTTTACTGTCTCCCGCTAGATGTCGTACTAAAATGTTGTCCCGCTGGTTCTTGGTCAACAATAAAGACCCAAAATTCCTAAAGCACAAGAAACAATAATTGAAACAGCTGTTTTAATTGACATTGGTTGACCCAGTCGGTAACTGTATGCTGTAATTTTACAATAGTGATATTGTTATTTTTTAACAGTAATACCAAAATTACCGGAGTCATTATTTGTCATACAAATTTTGTAATCGAACAGCTGTATCTTTTAGAAGAAAAATAATATTAAAATTAGAAAAAAGTGAATATATTATAATTCAATAGGTACATGAACTTTCATTTAAAAACAATATCAACGGTTATTTGAAAGAAAACATGGTGTGAAATAGCTTTATATAAGTAGTTGTATAAAGTAACAAACAAATGTGAATGTAACAATTAATTACATTAAACTGTATCAAAGTTTTCGTAATTCTATTTTAAATAAAAATGTAGAAAAAATTAAATATTAATTGCTATTATTATATTCTTATTACTATTATACTCTTGGTGTATGTTTTATGTTAACATCAGTTTTCAGTTGAACTTTTTAATTGAATGAAACTGTGCTACAGTGGTATTCGTGACCAAAAGTATTTGAATATGGCAATGTATTTTTAACTTTAGGTCTTTAAACTTACCATTCCGTTGTCTATGCTCAAATCGTCTCAAGCGCCATCTATTGTAAAACAACAGGAGGAGCTCAGCTCAACCATCCAACTACTCCACACGTCTATTCTATTCCGTTGTTTTCTCTGTCACTTACTGCAATCGCAATCTGTATTGATATTATCGTGATAAAAAAGTGTGGAAAATTCTGAATGTAATGGTATGTGCTACAAAGAAAGGTGAATAAGTTTTATAAAGAAAAAGTGGTGATAAGAACTGTGAGTAGTATTTCTATATTTGAACAATTCTAATTGGGATTTTCTTTCTTTACTAAAACGGTGTATTATTTTAGTGTTCGCGGCTAGTATTTTTATTTTGTTATTTGTAATTAACACAATGAATGTGTATAACTAAAACTATTTCTAAATGAAATAAAATTAATTGATCTAAGCTTAAAACAGAGATATCATTCAAATACACGGTTTTTGATGTCCTAGAGCAATACATCAGTCATACAAATATGAACTTTTCAAGGCAATGTTAGGGCAGTGATACGGGCGGCTTATTGTGATGTATTCACTTCCTTGTTGGGCGACTCACCAAGGTTTCTATGTGTGCGTATCATTGGCGTGATGCTTGGCCAGATGCCAGTGCATCAAACAACGCCTGCTGCACTTAAACGTAGCGAAATGGGATAAAATTCATAATTTTTTAAGTGTTTGCTTTTTTATGGCGTTGTGAGTCATTCGCCTGTCTGCTTTTGAGTTATTGTATGGTTTAATGATGATTTGAATCATCAAGTACAGGCAGCTAAGAGTAAAAACTGATACAAGTTATAAATAATAAAGTTAAATCACTTTTGTAACTGAATTCAAATAGTTTTCAATTAGTGAAAATTGAATTGAAAATAGAAATCCATTTACTATCTAATATGCCTTCAGGCATATGTAAGAGCTTCACAAATAAAATATATAAATATACAGTTCCATTTTATACTTGATAACAGTTCTTGAGTCATGGTACTGCCTTGTACCACAGCAATAAGTAATTAAAATTAATTTATGGCCTGTACATAATGCTAGCAAACTCACAAAAAAGGTAACAAACATAATGGGTTCATTATCAACCTCTCTGTTACTTGAACTCTTTACTGAGTCATGATGTGTTATCTGTGAGCCAGTAGAAAAGCTTTCTAAACATAATTGTAGATATGTTTCATGTTATATCTTAAACCATTGTGTACTTAGACCACAGAATAAAAAAAAATATTTCATGGTCATATGTATATCTTGTTATACATTTTGAACTGTTCACAGCCTTAAAAAAAAAACATTGCTCATAACTAATAATTATAAAAGCTCTTTAAAGCACACAGTACATTTATTTGTTTTCTTTTATTTTCATCATCAAGTGAAAATACTTAACATTTTAGCAACTATTTCATCAAATACATTAAAACAGTATTTGATCTGACAATCTATGTAAACAATGCAATCAATCTGTACAATTTCATTTCTATCAAAATAAATTCTCTTAAATATGTTTATACACCACACTAACAGATATTAGCAGAGATGTATCTGGTATACCATGCATAAACTCTTGATGGTTTGTGTGGTATATCATAAAAAACCTTATGCATGTATGAATTTTATATTAGACAATAAAGGGGAAAAAAACAAGACAGATAAAACAATATCGATCTTCAAATTTCATTACCCTAAGCATACTACTAGTAGCAAATGTGAGAGGTTAAGAATTATAATGAATGTTGCATTATGTGATAAAACCCTTACTATATTTTTTGTAAATTTTAGTAACGTAAAGTAAAAGTATAAATAAATTTTATTTTATTATAGACTTCAAACTGTACAGAGGGCACCATTAATTTTTCTTTTTTGCTTTTTAACACCATTTACAATATACTTATTTCAATACATTACTTTATTTACTAATCTACTGTTCTCTAATAGGTTTTAAGTGATCAATTTATTCATATGTACTTAGGTATTATTACCCCTTGAAATCCAGCAGTTCACTTATTAATAATGCTTAAGGTTAACCTTGATAACTCAGAAAACTTTTTTAAAGATAATCCTAGTATTATCTTTCTAAATGAGGCTGGATCACTGAAGAGGTTAACGAAAGAAGGTTAAATGTATCTTGAGTGGATAAGTTAGTGTGGGTAGGCCTAAAAGACTTACAAATGATAATAGTAAAGCCTTTATTTCCCTAATGATTTACATATCACATAAGGTCTGGTCTTAGTATTTTTTTTTAGAAAAAAAGTTTATAAAATAGAGAAAGTAAAACATTAAAACTACAATTAATTACAAAATAACTCTTAATTTGGTTTGCCTTACTACAAAGGCCTCCTCAAACTTTCTTCATTGTTTTCTGTCTGCTGCTACTCTCATCCAAAGTGGTCCTAAGGTCATTTTTAGGTCATTCTCCCATCTTATTTCCTTACGACCTCGGCTCCTAGTGCCATCCCTTGGATATCAGACTTTCACCTTTTTGCTCCACTTTTCTTTTGTGCAGTGGAGCATATGTTCGGTCCATCTTCATTTAAGTTGATCAATACGTGACAGTCTGTTAATTTAGTTTTACGCCTGATGTCTTTGCTTGTAAATTTGTCTATTAGTCTCAAACCTAGCATACTTCTTTCTATGCTTCTCTGACATCTTGCTAGTTTGTCCCTGTGGCTTTTTGTTGAAGTGCAGGTTTCACAGCCTTATTGAATGCAGGGTAGGATGCAGGTATCAAAAGTCTTCATCTTCTTTAAAGACGTCTACTGTCTACATTAACATTTGAAAGTATAATAAAGAATCACCTGTTTAAAAGGTCCGATAATAGTTTATGAAAGTGGTGTAAGTCAGAGATGTGAAAATGGCATTTAAACATATGTATCTGTCCACCCTGGGACTATTTGAGGGATGTGTAAATGTCATCTTTCTGATTCTGTATTTTCATTTTTTGTTTTATAGTTACTTTTCGAAAAACACATTTTGATGAAACACTTTTAATACTTTTTTATTAGGTTTACCTGTAACTAACTAACAATTTAAGCAAAAAATACATCTAAATTAAAACCTAATTTTTATTATCATATTAAATGTATATATTTGAGGTTTGGCAAAAATACTGTCATTTGGGATATTGGAGTTGATCGGGAGTTGATCTGATATGGGAGTTAGAAGTTTGGATTGGATAGTAGAACTCTTTAATTGGCTAAAAGTATACCCCACAAGTTCTGCTCATATCATTTGATTTTGTTAGTTCAATAAGTTGGCTTGCTCACAAAGATCTGGTGGATAAATTTCTTTTTTTTGTTGATTGTATGGGAAGTCCTTAAATCCCTTTGGATCTCCGGCTGCTTGAGGACGCAGGAGTCAGGAGAATGTGGTTTTTCCCCTAAAAACCACCCTGACGGCCGGTCTCAGGTGCCGGTCTCAGGTACTCTGAGAAGGACCCCGGACTATGTTGCTTTAGGTCCCCCCCAGCTCAACCCCGCGCCTAGCCAGGCCTTATCCCCGGAGAAGCCGCGGGCAGACTGCTATCCTATCCCCTGCCACCAGAGGTCCCCACTCTCTGGCAGTCTGCGTCTCCGTCGAAGGTTGATATCGCTGCGTGGTACGCGCCATTCGAGAACTCCTGGCCGCATCGGACTTGGTTTCTGCGAGCAAAATATAAAAAATAAAATATGCTATTAAAATTAATTAATATACATGTCACAGGAAGATGAGTCAAGTGTCGCAAGTTCATTTTGCATCTCAATGTTCTGTGCAAATATTAGCATGCATAAATATTATATCTATTTGTATGTTGGTTTTTTTATGTGTAATACGTATTTTATGTAGTAAAAAAGAAATATATTGTAGAACCCATAGCACAACCTCTACTTCTACTGTTTGGTTCAATTAGCAATGTGCTATATATCCCAGGATGTTATTCTTATTAATATATATATAAATATATTATTTAGGGTGTGTAAAATTTCATTGAAAATAATAATGTAATCATCTAGTATATACCTTTAAAAGAGTATGAAGGTGTATGTATGTTAATCACATGCATGCAGTCTACACTAGACCAAGATAACAGTATAAGTTTAGTTGTTTCATTTTGGTATAAATTATCTTAATGAATACATATTAGTTACTCGATTAAAAGCAGCGTAAGATATATTTAACTTCATCATCATTATATTCAACAACATTCGACTGCACGGATGGCGTAGTGGTTTAAGCGGTCGCCACGCCGCTTCCTACTGCGCAGAGTGTTGTGGGTTCAAACCCTACATGGAACGACACTTTGTGTGATCCACAAATTGTTGTTCTAAGTCTGGGTGTTCTTTGTGTCCGTTTCATGTATGTTTGTAAAGTCCCCCGCGACACAGGAATGTATTTCTAATGCGGGAGTTGTCTTTAAAAAAAAAAAAAACTAACTAACGAACATTCGTGGCAATCGTTACGGGTAGTTGGAGCCCTAAAAAGTCCGACAGCACTCTAACTACAGAACTTCGATATCGCCTATAACCCTGCAATCTCGTGCGCGACCGTCCCGCGGGGTGACAGACA